GCAAGGAATTTCTATGGTGAAGAGACAAGACCCTGGATTTGAGAATTATTCTTTGAATTTTGAAGCAGCACTATTTTTAGGGAGCTTATTCAAATCCAGGTGACAGTGGTTTTTGTGAACAAGAAGCCTAGGATTTGCAACGTCCTTTCAATGTGAAGTACATTTCATTAGGGATTTTTGTCAGGGAATAGGGGGAGCCTAACGCCAGAGAATGCTGCATATTTTCAGCTAATTTTTGAAAAGCATTTTCATTGGAAAAATTCAGGGCCAAGGATTGGAGACTTCTTCTTTAAGGTTGAAACACCTATAGCATCTTTCGGAAACCGTTGGAATGTTATATGTATTACTTATGTTGAGGAAATAACTTCGATTCTTGTATGAAAACAACATTTCATGCTCTTTGCATAGTAAGACTATGAAAGAATGCTTCACAATCATTAGGAACATTCACACAGTGGTATTTTGAATTTCAAATTTGCAACTCAATATTAAACTTTAGCTCTATGCAAGCTTTGCTCATCCAAGGTGTCTATGTCATGCATCCATTCGACATCTGAGGCGTAGGATGATGAGGGTTATAGATGCAGTGCAGTCTATACATCCTAATGAGATTAATGAACCTTATATGGAAGCCTTCGTGCAAAAGCTTCTAAATGTAGTGTAATATGTAAATGCTAGTGAGGTTAATGAGCCCTATATAGAATCGTTGGTACCAAAGGCTACGAAATACAGGGGGGTGGGATACCCTCCCGCCCACATCATTAGTTTATGAATACCAGAGTATGATAGATCAAAATGACAAACGATACATCGATAATCAGGAACTAGAAGGTTAATTGAATTATTGGTTTGATGAATTTGGTAAATCCCTGAAAATAATGATGATGAGATGACAGACACGCTGAAAAGTAATGAAAGAGAATGATACAGGTATTTAAGTTCTAAAGATTTATGGAGAACCTCCCAAGAAACCTCTCCAACAAAAAGCATGAGATGCAAACATGGCATGAAATGAATGAGCTGATGAAGAAGAAGAAGATGATGATGATGAGAATGATGGATAGTGAGTTGAGGTGATAATGAAGGGGTGAGCTGTTGACCCCAGAGCCTGAGGGCGGAAAACTCAGGAGCCCGTCTTTTACAATTCTTCGCACTCGTACTCGAGCATAGCTACAGCTGGTCCAAATCAGAGGTGCAAAGGGTGCGAAAGCTCGCCGGTGCTTCGTATCAGCACCCTTGTCTTGAGGACATAAATTGCGTAGGAAGCGGCAGCAGGCGACGAGATTGGTGATGGCTGACGACTTTGGAAATTTCACGTCATGCTTTGCGAAGTTCTTTTTGCGCAAAACATAGTGTTCTTTCAGTGCGGGGATCTGTTGTTGTCACCTCATCCGTGCCTGTGCACCTGTAGCAGAAAACTGCAGGGATGTTCTTGCCATGTCTTGGTAGCTGCCAGAATGGATGCTGTTTACCTAGGTGTCTAGCCTGAAGAAGCTCCTTGTCCAATTTGGGAAGACCGCGCGCGGCTGCATTGAGAAGAAGGCCTGATGTCTGCAACGGCAGTGCAACGAATATGACCGTATCTGCGAGGACTTTGTGGACCGCTTGAAGCCGCCAAGATGAGTCACAGCGGTTGTTAAAATGATCAGAACGAATGGACACTTTGAAGAGACGTGAGGCATGCAGTGTGCAGTGTAATCATAGGGCCGAGCACGCGCTCTCCAGCATCTTTAGATACATAAATAAACCAAGCTGAGGGCATGTCTCTGACGCGCACTGGGAGAGTGGTGCCCAGCGGCATGTCATTGAAAGAGTCCTGTTGACACCTATGACAAGCTCCAAATACAACATCTGGTCTAGCTAATTTCACAAAGCACGGCAAACAGAGATTGTGTGGCCGGAAGGGGAACCGGGCCAGGGTTGAGGCCAGCCCCGTTGTGCTTTCCCAGTAAGGACCCGGGTCTGTCGTGCTGTCTGCGAGCTGACGACCTTGGCTGATGTATTGATTGGCTGGCTCCAACGATAGCAGAAAAGGTTTATGGCGGCCTTTGGACGACAGCGTCTTGGTTGGTGGAAACGCGCCTTGTCCGCTAATGTCCGCTATCCCCAACTCGGGCAATGCGACCGCCGTCGTCAACAGACGCCCAGGTAGTACAGGCCAACCAGGTGTGCACATCGCGAGATTCGGGGCAAGCAGGCGTGACCACCGATCAGGGTGGTGAGCTTGACGCGCCGCCAAACGCCGCAGCGAGGACCGTTCATGTGGCGCTCAGCGCGAACGCCATGCTGCGGCTGCTGAGACTGGGATTCTTGCTGGGCTTTCAGGAAGTGTGCCCGACCCGTGCCCTCACTTTGCAATTAGCGCCGCTGCGCCTCCGCGGAGCGCTGCACACAGCCCTGCGCACAGGCCTCCGCCTGGACACCTCGCTGGCCACTCCTGATGACCGACTGCGCGGGTGGAAACTTTTCCTGCTGGCGCCAAGAATGTTGCTCTACTGTGCCGCAGGCGAGTCCCACGTCGCGATGGCCGAATTTGATCGCCGCGCGGAGCTCTTCCGGCATGGGAGCTGGCAAGAATTCTTGCATGAAGCCAGTGCTGCCGCAGGAGGGGCCGGCTCGTGCAGGAATGCTGAAGTGCTGCAAAATCATTTGTGCACCTTGGCAAGAGCCGGTCCCCGGTTGCTGCTTGCTGCCGGCACGCAAGCCACCCTTGATGAGCTGCATGACCTTCAGCGGCGGCCCCCGACACCATACGGCCCATTCAGTACGGCCACCTGCTTGCACAGGACCGACGAGTTCTGAGGAGGTGCTGGCGGGCATCCGCCAATGGCAGAGCGCGGGCACTACTCGTTGGTGACGTCTTCCGAAGCGTGCCTGCCTTTCCAGTATGGCCTCAGCACGCCAGCGCGGCACCGAAGCCGACCCGCGCGCCACGATCCTGTCGGTCGATACGGTCGGCGCCTTGAACCACGTCTCCAGACAGGCCATGCTGGGTGCACTTGTTGCCAACCCAGCGCTCCTGCGCCGCCCCTCCTCCCATATGCCCGCGAGTTCTGTGCAAATGGTATGATGACGCCGGCGTGGCGCATGAGGTCCTTCGGGCGGAAGGCGGGGAGCAGAGCGACCCACTTATTCCCGCGCTCAGCATTTTGCGGAGCGCGAAATCATACTTGGCTGCGGGACGGCGAAGCTGTCTTTGCTACAAAAATCCTTGCTTTCCTCGATGACATCTACGACACCGTCGACGCCTACGCCCCTGAGCGTGTCCCGCCCATCCTTACATTTTACTGCCCTCGAAGCGGCTTTGTGGGAGCACGCCCGCATGAAGGTCTACGCCGGCAAAAAAAAAGAGTTTGGAACGCAGCAGGTGAGGAACCCCCAAACATCATTGACCCGCCGTGCGCTCCGCAGGATCCTCAAAGCAGGCGTGCTGAGCATGACAGCCTCCTTGACCTCATCCCGCAACTTTGTGACCTCCGCTACTGTTGTTGTTGTTGTTGCTGGTGCTGCTGCTGGTGCTGCTGCTGGTGCTGCTGCTGGTGCTGCTGCTGGTGCTGCTGCTGCTGCTGCTGCTGCTGCTGCTGCTATGCGTCGGCATGAGCCACAGTCCTTCAGCCGGACCCGGCCTCACCTGCTTGCGTTCCGGGCGGCAAGCCTGAAGTTACCCTCCGGGGTTGGCAGCGCGTGCGAGGGGTGCGTGCGCGAGTCGCGCCGTTCCGACATGTCAGTTGCGTCTCATGCGCCGCTGCTCCCGCAATCAAGGCTGCATTCCTCCCGGGCCGGGGCATCTCGACCGACCCGGCCACCAGTGGGCCTGTGCCAGTTCTGGGGTCCTCGCCACGTGCGTGCTACCGCTTGAGCGCCCCGTTGCTCGCGTCTGCCGGGAGGCACGTGGCATGAACATCAATGTGCTTTCGTTGATGCCAGGTGCATCGAGGTTATTGCGAATGGCCTCCCATATCCTCCCATTGTGGCACAGTGCGCAGCTCGAGTATCTCAAGTTTGACGCGACATTTGTGTCTCCCGTGACGTGCCGTGGCGACTGGGGCGTGCCGCCCCCAGCGCGGCTGAGCGCAAACGAACATTCCGAGCTCGTGCGGGCCCGCAAATTCCGATTGCGCAAGAAGGCGCTCAAGCTCAAGCGGGAGTTTTCGGGCAGCAGTGCATCGCCCTTCTTTTGGTGAAGACATTCCAGCACGTGCACGTGTAGAGTTTGAACCATGGCCGCAATGATTCCCGAACAGGTTTTGAGCGGCGCGGCATTCCCTGCTGCGCTGCGCCACTGCGCAGGGGCCCTCGGAGCAGCTGCGGTAAAATCGTGCGGGTGAAAAAAAATTAATTCAGGTGTCATCTGCGCGGTTTGTTTTCTGAGAAATCAGCCGCGCAGATCCCGCCAGATTTTGTCCGGTGAATTTGGGAAGAATGGATTTGCAAAAAAAAGGATCTGCGCGCCTTGTGCATTCAGATGTGCCCAGAAGAAACAGCCACGCAAATCTCACCAGATTTTGTTCAGTGAATTTAGGAAGAATGCATAGGCAACATCTGTTGTGATCTGCCGTCACACCAGATTTTGCCCACTGATTTTGGAAAGAATGGATGGGCAAAATCTGGTGTGATCTGCGCGCGGGGCCTGGGTGGCGACCAATGTTTTGTTGTGGGACATGAACGTCGATGTCCTGCTGGCGGATTCCCGCCGCATTCAGGTCCTCGCCGATGGGCTACCGCCATGGCAGGGGAATCAACAACCTTCAGCGTCATCAGAATTCTCCTCGTAATTTGCAATCGTCGACCGTCTCGCTGTTTTTGGTGTGTGGCGGCGCTGGCGCGTGGAGCATCCTCATAATTTTGTTCGGAATCGACGACCTTCTCGTGAGTTTGGGGGAGGTGGCGGCGCTGGCACGTGGAGCTTCCTCTGAATTCTCTTCGTAATCTGCAATCGTCGACCATCCCGCGGTTTTTGGTGGGCGCTGGCGCGTGGAGCATCCTCATAATTCTGGTCGGAATCGACGAGGACCTACACCGCATCGCGTACGCCACAGCAGCTATACACTGGCCACGCAGACCGCGGCACCTACACCGCGCCACGGCCGCAGCACCTGGAACCATGGAGTGCATTCGAACACGAACGTTATAATATAATGGCATCGATGCTCTGCTAACCGTATGCTTTTGGAACACGAACGTGACTACGTCTTTGGCATGGATGCTCTTATCATTATGCACACGAACGCGATCGTTATCGTGGTTTGGGCATGGGTGCTTGAACACGATCGTTATTATGGTTTGGGCATGGATGCCTTCATAATGGAGTGCACTTGAACACGATTGTTAGTATGGTTTGGGCACGGATGCTCTCGAGTGCATGCGAACACGATCGTTATTATGGTTTTGGCATGGATGCTCTCAAGCTCGAATGCACTCGAACACGAACGGAAGTATCGCTTGGCCATGGTTTATGGGTGCTCTGGTAACCGTAAGCTGCTGGAAACGTAAGAAGATAGCGGATGCTTTTCCCCATAAACCCTGAATCCAACAGAGAGGATTGTTGCGAGGGCCCCCAAAGGTCCCCCAAGTAACACTAAATAGTTATGATACACACATTTTTCGCAACAATTCTCACTGTTCTTGGAACTTTATAAGGGAGAAAATGTTGTAAAACCATGGGGCTTGTTTTTAAAACAGGTGTTGGTCAACATTTTCTCATAGAAAGTTATGTATAATGTATAGAAACTGCTAAATTCCCTTGTTACGGACAACACAAATATATTGAAAAGCAAATATTGAAAAGCAAAAACAAAAAAACAAAAGACAACAACATCACACAAACAATTAAAGATCTCGAGAGCATATGCATAGACTCCACGTGTGAAATGTGATGAGTTTTTTCCTGAGTGCTGGAATAGGGCTTGTACATACCTTGGTGTGCATGTTTCACAATTCTGACCATGACCCATGGTCGTTCAAGGACATTCCTCT